ATTCAATCACCAGATCACCTTTGTTTGAAAATATTGCTTTTGATTTTTATAAATTTGCATGTCTACTTCCTTGCAGCCTATTGTTTATCGAATGTGGCATATGATTTTAACTGATTATTCTTTACCCTCATGTGTTATAGATCGAATTAAAATTTATATTCCTTTTAATCAATGGAATAGGGAAGAACAAATCAATGCTCAATTGAATGAAAAATCTTTGAAGTATTTTTTCTGTGCTTTAAATACTGAAGACTTCATGTTTGTTTCCACGTGCACTACTGGTAAGAAAATTTGGGATAAATTACACACCATATACGAAGGCACTAGTGAAATCAAGCAATCTAAGTTGAATTTTTTAATACATGATTATGAATATTTTTTCATCAAACCTTATGAGACGATCTTAGACATGTATACTAGATTTATTCAAATTGTTACATCATTGTATGCTTTAGGTAAAGAGTTTTCGAACCTTGAAAAAGTTAATAAAATTCTTCGTTGTCTACTTGATAATTTTGATGCTAAAATTATTGCCATTTGTGAATCAAAGAATTTAAATGTGTATTCTATTGATAATTTGATTGGCTTACTCATTGCCTATGAGCAAAGTTTGGGTGACTTTTGGATGCAGGTGAGATGATAGTCTTAAATACTGAAGACTCGAAGAAAAGTGGCTTAGTTGGTGATGAAAGCAATGACTTAGTAATCAAATTAAAAAGTCCACTAAAGCATAAGCATCAATAAAAGTGGAATAAAGGTAAAAATTCTAAGAATGTTAAGATTTTTTCTGATGTTGTTTGCTTTGGATGTAGGAAGCCTGGACACAAGAAAAATTAGTGCCCTAATTTGAGAACTCTTCCTACAAAAGAAAAGGGAAAAGCTAAGCAAATTGTATAAAGGGCAAATAATGAAAGAAAAAAAATCTCTTGGGCAGACCTGGTTTCTGAAGCATCAGACCAGGAGCTTTATGGTGTTTAAAAGCCTTACTTATTTGTTTTGTGTTGTGTTTTAGTTTTTGGTGTTTCCTTTTTTTCCCCCTTTTTCATCTTGAGTGTTGTTTTTCTGTTGTTATCGGTTATTATTTTTTTGTGAAGTTTTCACTAATTAACACACACATATCACTTTTTTGAAGATTTTTTTTTTAAATGAAAAGTCTATCTCTTGTTTCTCTTGAATTCTTAGGTAAGTTGTGATTGACTTCTCTAAAAATAGTCAAAGAAAAGAAACTCATGATTTTGACTCTCAATCTCTGTTTCCTAAAAGAGGTTATTCTACTTTTTATTTAAAATCTTTATCATATTTTAAATTGGATTTTGAAACTGAACTTTTTCATCTTCCTACATTTTATCTATCGCATAGGAATTTTTTGCAAGTTGATGAATCTATCTCATAATTTTCTTTATCAAGTAGTCTGCTTTATCAATAAAATGGGTTTACTTTTACATTTAAAATTTCAGAAAGGTAACATACTCAAAAATAAAAAAAATTTGGCCAATGATGCCAAATAAAAAAAATGGCCAATGACGCCAAATTAAGAAAGATACACAAAGTTTATCAAAAGTAAAAGATGCGCAAAGTGTGCCAAAAAACTGACAAGAGGCATAAAATGAGCCCACAAAGAGTGATTACTTTTTTCGTGTTTACTTAAAGCTTAAGAAAACCCTTGATATTTTTGGTACTTGATCTTGAAAATCATGTTTGGATTCACCATTTTTTGCATCAATCTTCTATTAGATATATTTTATGAAAAGAGTTTTGAAAAATTAGTTTTTCTTTTTCTAATTTATTCCTTGATTTAGAGATTGAATTAAAAAGTTTTTGAGCCTTTAAAAAAAACTGAGTTTGGAGTAACAATTTTTGAATTTCTTACCTTTACTGATTTATGCGTTGTGAATCCATTCCTTACTAAGTTTTTGATTAAAATTAAGAGGTAACTTTCTCATTTTTAAAAAGATTTTCTTTCGTGCTCCTTCTCGTTTTGATAATGTCAAAGGGGGAGAACGTACTATTGAATTTGTATCCATTTTCTTGTATTTTTTTTCTTTGAAAAAAATTAAAAATAACAAAAAAAATTTTATCTCCCATATTTTTAAAGTTTTATTCTAGTGAGGGGGAGATTAGGAGAAAATGTTTTCTTCTTTGCAAATTCAAATAGTAATATTTGCCATCATTAAAAATGGGGAGATTATTGCGGATCTATTTTCATGGTTTATGATTTTGATGATAGCAAACACTCTTATTTCTTTATGACCGCCTTATCTACTGATATTTTAGGTCCACAAGATCAATCTGCAATTTGGAACCAGCTCAAGATTGGGTAGACTAGGTCTGAGTTAGTTTGAATCCTTTTTTCAATTCTTTAGTCTATTGTAATTGTTGTGGCTCCTGATGCTATGTAACTTTACACACACACACCTTGGAATAATTTTTGATTGTTCCTTAGAGTTTACTATTTTTTAAAACATCGTCCGAGATGATATTTATACTGGCCTGGATGATCGGTTCAAAAACAGAAACCCTAATTAGGGCATTATTATTAAGGCAGCCGTCATTAACAACATCGTCCTGGATGATTTTGTATCGGCTAGGATGATGATACAAAATAAAAAGAATCTATAGTCAGGTCTATTTAGGAATTACTAATTTTTTGGATATCGTCCCGGTGGATCGGCCAGGCTGATCCAGCACAATTTTTCTTAAATAAATCTGTCAGTTAAGGAAAGAAATTAATGGTGATTTACACGATCACATCGGCCGGGCCGATTTGACATCGTCCATCTTCTTTTAAGGGCAATGTTCATGATGATTTTCCTCATATTTTGAACTAATCATCCATGATAATATCCGATCGGCCTGGATGATATAACCAAAAATCTCCTGATCGACCCTACCCGACCAGGCTGATTGAGCATAATTTATGTTGATAGGTCAGGCCGATATTTATATCGGCCTGGACGATAAAGTCGGCATGTTGCATTAATGAGCTCATTTTGAGATCTTCTATTTAAGCTTTGACGGTAGCTTTGTAAGTATCTTTGGCAGTCATTGTAGCTTCGTTCTTTTGGGGGAAACTTGAAGCGAAAGCTTGGAATGGATTGAGGAATGGGTGAAGTCTGAGAGAGGAAGAAGATCCTGTGAGGGGAGACTTAAGGGAGTGTGGAGGGGGATTCCGCACGGTTACTCCAGCAAGCTTGCACCTTAATACCATCAAATTCAAGGCTTATCTTGAGGGAAGTTCACAGAAGAAGAATATCTCTTTGGTGTCAAAAGACCCAGCGACTCTGCCGCACCGGGGAAAGTGGAAGTGATTTTGTAAGGGCTTCTCTGCCTAGCTATGGGGGCTAAAGGAGAGACACTTAGTTTAATACAATACTTTAAGGGTGCCTCTGAGGAGTTGACGTAGGTCAAGGTTTGACCGAACCACTATAAATCTGGTGTGTTCTTTCCTTTATTATTTCCGTATTTAATTTCCACATTATGTTTTCTTTGTGGTGAATTTTAGTTTGGTTTAAGTTTTGATTTAAAGATATTTAAAATACCAATTCACCTCTCTCTTAGTTAGCATTGGGCTAGTTCATAAGGAGCGTAACATCCCTAACGAACTTTCAACACTCTCCAAGTGTAGGCAGAGAACCCTTCATCCTTTAAAACTTCTCCAAGTGTAGGCAGAGAACCCTCCTGCTGTTCACACTCTTCGAGTGTCGGCAGAGAATCGGATCTCCTTGACAAGATCTTCTTACGAGAAATCTGGAAGGATAAGAGAAAAGAGTAAAGTAATCATAATTCACAAACAAAGATCCTTACCTTTGAGTACCAAGTGAACACTTCACGCTCCAGTAGTAAGAAATCTCCTTCAAACACTCTCTCACACTCTCTCCTTCAATCTCTCTTCAATTTGCATGAAGACTAGTCGACAAAAAGATTACAAGATAGTTTTAAGTGGACCTTTTATATGAAAGAAATGAAAAACTATCCAAAAATTTCAATTTTTCAAATATGTATGTACTTGATCATCTCGTACGATCATAATTTGTACGTACAAATAGTATAAAACTATTGCGTACGAACTCAATGTGCATTGGTACGAAATTACTTTCTACCCGATCATTGTCCTGTACGAACAAAGTTCATCCAATGCGAACAGTTATTTTTAAGCTTCGTTGAAAAATAACTGCTGGACAGTCCATAAGGTTAAGGAACAGAGGACATCTTCGTGGGATGAATGGGCAGAATCGTCTAGATGAACTATTAATTTCAAAAATCAGAGAACATCATCCAGGGATGAATGAGACTTTTCATCTAGATGAATAGTTCAAAGTGAGAAATTAGAGAACATCATCCAGGGATGAATGGGTAAATTCTTCTTGATGATCAAGACTTAGAAAATTTTTCTTCACTTTATGATCCTTCCATTACTCTCCGAGGGGTATAACTTACCTAATAGTGTCGTACGAACATGGTTCATCCTGTACGATCAGTATGAGAAATTTTGTCTTTTAAAGATCTCCCCCAGTGTGTGTGTGCTATGTTACTCAATTACAATCACACTTTCTCTGACTCAAAATGAACAAAATACAGACTCCAAATTACAAAATATTATAGTCAGATCTTTATTTGAAGTCCTCACCAATCTGAAGTTTGATTTCCCTGAAATGTTATTACTCACAAGAGCTAAAAAACAATTCTTCCAAAATGCGTTAGGAGAAATTAAGTAATCAAAACAATAATATTTGGAATTATCAAAATAATAAGTTGAAAGAATATAAAACATGAGAAAGCTAAGTAGCAACTCTCTTAACATTAACAATCTTTTCACTTTTCAAGAATTCAATCTTTGGCTGCCCATAACCAATGATATAGTAATGGATCAACTCACTCAATAAAGATTTAAACATCCTTTTCTTTTCAGAAAAGAAAGGTAAAATAGGATTCATCTGAAAAGGAGTAGGTGCAAAATTCAATGTCCAAATTGAGTTTTCTTTTGCACCAATAACATGAAGTGGATGAAAGAGATTCAAACTTTATACATGAGACATGCATGAAATTTTAGATTCTTTACAACCATTTGTTTTGATTTTATTTTAGTTCCTTCCACTACAACATTCATCAGATTATTCTGTTTGAGCATTTTAATTTTCTCAGCCCTTTACCTTACATCGTGGTTCTTGTTCCTCTTTTGAGATTTCATCATATATGGTATAGTAGAAGATGACCCCATCTCGATCTTGCTCAGATAAAAGAATCTAAGAATGATGGCAGATTTTCCCTTTTAGTTTGAAGAAAGCCTTTGGAAAATCAAATGAGAAAACTCTGAGGGTTTAGCAGTTACCTTGGTAACTTTAAATCCACCCTCCAATAGAGCCTTAATAGTTGTGGCAGACACAGATTCAACCTTCACCATGCAAGAATGTTGTCCAGATATTTTGAACTGAACATTATTTATTTATCAAAACTAGATCACTATTACACCAATAGAAGGACATTGATTGAAAGTCATGTTCACATCATTGGAGAAAGAGAAGACCAACTTTGTAAACATTATTTTTTAATTTAATAGAATTATATTTTAATCTTTAAAATTCACTGGCCCTTAAATATGACATATATCAGAAGAATATATTGATTAATGTTTTCTGAATCCCTAAGGCGTGATTACACTGAAGCTTACCAAAATGTTTTTAAAATTTTTAAAGCTCATTGACTATAGATATGGACCTAGCCTATGGAAAGAAGGACTATAAAAGTGTTCAAAATTAAAATTTAGAATTGATTTATATTGATTGAGATGAATTCAATCTAAATGACCTTTAGTTGGAGAGGGAATGGTTGAAGTTTGATTTCACTTTAGATTTTAGAAAAGGATTGAACAAGTACCCTAGTTCGAAGACTTTCAGATGTAGATGATAAAAAGTGACATAGATTAGATTTAAATTTAGATTTTGATGATGACATTGGTAAAAGAACTTTTTACAAGGGAGAAGGTTAACTTTGAAATTTATATTCTGAAGCCTGGAGTTAACATAGCCATGTAAGACTACGTATATGCAAAAATTCAAAACTATAAAATATGCAAAAGTGCAAAACTACAACTGAGAAACCCCTACTAGACTTAGGACCAAATCATTATTCCAATTGGACTAATCAGCTTGGTTGTTAGCAAGAAATCAATTAACCATGGGATGTGTTTATAAAAGTTCTATGTAGGATGTTAATCCATTGTGAACTATTCCTATACACACTAAGTGGGGGGGGGGGGGGGGGGGGATTGAAAGTTTTAAAAAACAAACTTTATCATTGACAGTTTTAAAAAACATACTTTAAACACAAAAGTATATATATTTTATTATTTTTTTTATTTTTATAAGTTAAAAATCAACAAAATAAACACCCGATGTGAAAGAAGAAATATGAAACAAATTTTTTATTTTGATGATGATGAATAGTTCAAATCAATATATGAACAAATAGATAATTGTCTGACAAATAACTTCTAGAAAATCAAAGTGTAGAAAAGTAAATTATATAAAAAATAGAAAGAACTAACAAGAATTTTATAGTGGAACTAAGACCGCTCCTCGGAGCCCTCTATGAGTTTTGCACTAAAACCTTAATGTCTCTCATTTAGTAGCCAAAGCTAAGTGAAGATGCCCTTACAATATTTTCACCAATCTTGTGAAACATAGGACCTTGAACTCTTTTTCACTCTCATATTGAAGGAAAAGAACATCGCACTCCTTTCTCCTTCCCAAAGAACTCCATGATCTCTTCTCCAAGCCCTCTCTATCTCTACAAAACCAAACAACCAAAAGATTTGAAATTAGTCTATTAAAAGATGTTAAATACAAGGCTACATAAAAAGCCCTAATAATTAATTTTTTTTGGACATTGATCGTACAATATGATCTCAGATTGTATAGTAAGATTGGTTAATATAGACCTATTTGTACTGTAGAAAAATAAGAAGCTATACAATCAGTTCAAGTCTTTATGTTGATTGTCCAGTACGATATAAAGCATCATCTAATATGATTTGTTCAATCAATTTAGATTATGATCCCATACAATTATTGGTGAATAAAATTGTCCCATGCAAAGATTGGGTCGTATAATATGATTTATTCAAATGTACATTATCCAATAAGATTGATCTTGTGGACCTAAAGCTATAATATGATTTATCAAATGTACATACCCTAAAGCTATACAATCAGTTCAAGTCTTTATGTTGATTATCCAATAAACATGAACTTTTTTTCTTTTAATTGAGAACAATTCATATTCAACAGAAGATAAAATTCAAAGAGTGCAACTACAGAAAGGCAATCTTCTAACAAAGAAAAAAAAAAAAAAGATCTGACTCTGATTCAAAGGATAATAATAAGTTCAAAAGCTTAAGTAATATAAATTCAAATGCCTGAAGTTCACTACTCATCTTCTTGGCTGCGTAGCCTAGCAAGCTTGTTGGTGACTACTATATCAAGCTGTGCTGCTCTCTCCACAATATCCTTACATTTTCTGGTTGAAACATTGTGTGCAATCTCAGCACAGTATTTCTTTTTGTGCATCAAAAGCAATTCCAGTTCGGAGACATTGTGAACTACAAATTTCTTGAACTTGTTGGGCAAAAAGTGGCGTGTCTTCTTATCAGAACCGTAGCCAATGTTGGGCATCAAAGTGCATCCTTTGAACTTTCTCCACACACGGGAGTCGATACCTGTAGGCCTCCTCCAGTTTGGCTTCATGCAGATATTGCCATCGCTTTGGGGCCTCTTAAACTTCTTCACGCGCTTCTTCACGATCTTCCTGTTGAGCAGCGGAACTGCCATTTTCTTCAAAGGATTAAGAAAAATCCGTGAAAAAAAAAATGAATAAGGCTGCTCTCTCAACTGCGCGCCCGTGTCAACCAATAAACATGAACTTGAAACTGAAACTACCAGACCAAAGCAAATAAATTGAACATATTATATTAAGTTCATCCATCAATTTCCAATCAGTCATAAGCTTCAAAAGTATATGTCTAACAATTTGATCGATCTAGAAGTAAGAACACGAAAAAAAAAAAAGTTTCAAATCATTACTAACAAAAAAATACAAATAAAATAAGCTTTTTACCAGTCTTATTATATTTACAGCAAGACATTCCTCTATGATGACATCAGGTTGGGGTGCAGCCTTCAAATTTATGTCTTTGATCCAACTAAGAATTCTTAGGAAAACTATGCTGTTCTTCTGGAAAGGAAGAAGATCTGACACCGGGACATTTTCCTGTTCTAAGAATTCTTAGTTGGATTGTTTTCATGAGAATTAAAGTTAGATAAGCCCTGAACGTATCCTACTATCCTCTCAAAAGCAATTTTTTTACACCCAAAAAGAAGGAAGAAGAGTTGGAAAGGAATACAAATATTCCAAATTCCTAATATCATCTTTTGCGTGAAACAGTTTAACTTCATTATGATGAAAACCAAAAGTGTAGTCTGTTCCAGAAAAAATTGACAAGAATCACCTTTTCGACCTTCTACATCTCTTCTCTCTTTTATTGTATCAGCCAAGAATTTGATCCATATCTTCTCATGGCTTAATGATGCTTGTCCATCTTCTGTAACTCCTTTTAGTATCGTCTCTTTGTTAATGATCTCAGCTATCTCAGGGAAGGATATTGTTAGTTTCTGATAAATGTGATCCCAATCACCTATTAAGCCTGCTAATTATAACATGAAGACTTCAGGTAAAGTCAAAGCTCCCATTAGGCGAGCTTATTTGCAACTTTCTGCACATCCATGTTTTAACAAAGTATTTGGCCAAGCCTCCTGCTGAAACTTCTGCCTGTTAAACTAAAGGGACTTAAAAGTGGAATGTACGACAAATATAAAGAAGAACAAATACATTTATACAATTATACTGCATAAAGAAAATTTATAGTGTTGTTTAGTCAGAAAGAATATCAAACAATGAGGTCTTACTTTAGACCAAGAAAAACTAGCAATAAATCAATTAGCCAAACAACAGGACATATTCTTTTTGAAGTAGTTGACAACTAGAATCCTATTACACCCTTAGAACTGACTTCATTCATGGGATAACCAAATCAAGAAACCATATCAACAGGTTAGGGATATGATCACAAAGAAAAACACCAAATATCAAAAGTAGGATAACTCGTTAATTATTTTTAAAGGAGGTGATCAAGTGGAATAATTTCCTCCAAAAACTTATGATCATCAATATCAGTGATGTAAATCATGAAAACAAATCAGTGCACCATCCATAGTAGCAAGGATGTCAGTTTCTATAAAGTCAACACCTTCTTCAATAGCTCTCTGCATGAAACAAGGAAGATGCTTACACTTGATGCTTTAAAAAGAAAATTATATTTAATGCAAATAAAGGAATTCTCATATACTTAGGAAATAATATATAAATTTCTAACATCATACTACATATCCTTGGTAAGACACATCCATATAGAAATCTTATAGTTGAATTAAAAATTGTGCGCAGGAACAATAGTTAATGTCATTGGTTGTTTACCATATAAGCATCCACTGTTTCTTCAGGAATTTCACCATTTGATCCTCTATGAGCTATATTGTATGGACGAAATGATTGCAGGGGTTCTTTATGCTTGTTATGTAATTTACTTGGAAGTTCATAGAATGGTCTCCCAATTGCCTCATCAAATAATAAGAGAAGAAGAAATGGAATAAACCCTGTCAATAAGAAGTTAAGGCATCCTCAATCTTGTTGCCGAATTTGCAATGTAAAATTGTAAGACTATGCAAGAGCAGCCATAAACGAATCCCAATTAGTCAAAGAAAGACAAGAAGCAAGAATTTGGTAGGATGCAGAAGCTCGTAATTGCAAAGGGGTCATTAAGCTAAAACACATAATGCCCCATTCAAAATTATATTATGATGGAGGGAGCCTCATTCCAGTATTATATAATTATAAGCCAAGGAGCTCAAAGACCTTCACTTTACTTCTTTCCTTTTGTTTTTGTCTCTTATTATGGGCTAACCAGATCCATTCAAATATGCAATTTTTTCAATAGATACCAGCAAATTAATTAGATAAAAAGAACATTCAGCCAGTAGACCTTGAGAAATATAGAGGAAACCAACAATTTTGCCTACTAAACAATTAAAAAACATGTATATAATGTTTGCGTGTGTGGATACTCTAAATTTTTATTTAAATTTTGATATTTAATTCGGATGCTCTAATGATCTCATTAGAAAACAAAAATTATTCAAATCATATATTTTGACTCTTTGGAATTATTTCTTAATGTTTAGCTCGCACACTTTTTCATAGGTTTCCATGATTTCCTTCATGCCCCGGGGATGGCGAGCAACATTAGCAACTTTAATGTTAAAGATGAAAATCAATACTGTGATCTTGAATATCTAGAAGAGACCTTGATCCATTCAATAAACACCCAACTAATCAAACAATAGGCGGGAATGAGCAGAAGATAATGGTTTAGAAGCAGGGAGAAAAACCCCCGACCACGAAAATTCGAACAAAGCGCCACAGATGAACGATAAAACCAAAAGCTAAACTTAGATAATCGAACAAGAAAGTTTACCAACTGAAAATCCATATGGAATGAAATGGAAGCGACAAAAAATATTGAATCTTGGATGCAAAGTTACCCTTTTAAAAAATGCAAAAGGAAAGTTGACATTGAAATTCTGGCAATCCCAACCTATTCAAGTTTCCTTCACACATTGATGATTTTTTAACTTAGGTTTTATCCTTTTGTATTTCAAGTATTGAACATTTTTTGTTTGTTTTTCTCTATTCATTTGTGGAACTTAACTGATCAGTAAATCATCCTCTGAAATCCAAAAAATATCACAAACAATGCCATAAGTTAGTTTTTAAGTATTCTAATTATTTCTACTGGTAGTTATCAATTGTTTTGTAAATGGAGTTTTTTTTTTCAACTAGTTTCTCCCTCTCATTCTTTTGAAACATTTTTGTGACAGAGGTTGGGTTACATATAAGGATCCAGCGGTAAGGTTCCTGATTGCATTAGCAGGGAATGATAGGTGAAAAAAAAAATGAATGCAAAATAGTGAGTGGAGAGTGAAAATCAACACAGAACGTTCGCAATCAGTTCCCACACCTTCATCTTCTAAACAAACTAAGCACTCGACATTAATGATTCGTAATGGTCGCTAAAAAAAAAACTTACTGAATAACTCAAAGCCATGATGCTTACACAACAATCCCTTCTGCTCCGAATCTACATATTTAGCTGCCTAATAAGGACTATTAATGGAAATTTAAAGAAAGTGAAGTGTATTGCAATGCACATTGTGCAGGAATAATGACAGAGAAGTGGAAATTAAAATATTAACAAAATTAAAGTGAAAATAGGCTTCGCCATTTATTTGATTGAGGAAATTTTGAAGAATAACCAAATTTAAAATTGTACACACTTAAATTTTAAGTAGAAAATCATAAAGGGAAATACACACGTTCCAATTTACTTTGTCAAACCAATTCCTTAACAACACCACCTAAACCAAACAGTCAAGATGCAACTATTAGGTAAATTACCAAAACATAGCCAAAAGAGGCTTTTCCTTTAATTAATTGTTTTTAACAATAACGTCAACCATTAGAACCATTTTTATTTTTGAGAGGGAGATCTTGGTGACAAAAATTGTCACGTGAATTTTGGGCAGTGCTATGAGGAGATTCAAAAAGACTAACTAAGAATAGAGATAAATCAGTAGACAAGTCATTCAAGCCTCATAATCCAATCAACATATTGAAGTAATGCAAAATGATGTCTGTTAACCACATAATCCAACAAAACTATAGAAGATGAAAAAAAAAGAGCCAGAAATCTGCCGACCAGATGAAGACAACCAATGACGGAATCACCCAACAAATAGTTGAAAGCATCTTTTCATCATACATACTCGAACTATCAATATTAAGAAGAAAAGAAAAGTGGAATACCGAATAGAGGATTTAACGCCTGCAGTCCTGCGGGGAGAGGCGTCGCCCGTCGGCGTTGAAGAAGCGACGAAGCCCAAAGGTGGAACCACCAGAAGAAGTGACGAAGGTGGAAGGCACTAGGCAGAGCCGTCGGCGTCGAAGGCGATCTCTCGCTCCCAGTTTTCCAGAGAAGAGAAATGGGGTCGGAGGCTTGAAGCGGCTGTGCGGGATCGGGATGAATGCTAGAGACGGAGAGAGCGACCGGTTCGATTAGGGAAAAATAAATATTTTAGGAGGGGCAGCAAAATTATAAAAAGGTCCTCTTCTAAGTTTTTTTTTTTTAGTAAAATGCTTCTGCTGACCCTTCTATGCAAATTTCCTCGTTTGGAATGGCCGACTCGCCGAGAAATTTATTTCATTTCCTTTTTCTCTGTATTCTTGTGTGTAAATTTGCTCGTTTGGAACGAATCCCCCTCAAACCTAAATGGTTCCGCCCCTGATTGGTGATTGCAGTTTGATATCATGGCTAAAGAGGTAGGGCAAAAATGAGATTAGTTCGCGTGCCTGAGATGGAGATCGCGAGAGTAGGATTTGGTATAATGTATAATTTTATTTAAAAAAGTAATTGATGAAATTTTAATATTATATATTTTAATTTATTCCATTAATAAATTATTTGATTTATCATCATAAAAATATAAATATTAAATTAAATTCATCATTTTATTTATTATTTTGAATTTTAAAAATATTATCAAAATAAAAAAAAATTTCGGGGGCGCTGCCCTCGAAAATCCCCGCAGGGGCGCTGTCCCTTGACCTCGTGACTTGACCAGGCAGGTCAAACCTTGTTAGAGGGTGCTATCCCCTTGGACCCCTAACATATATGCAAAGCATAAGATTATGTACACAATTAAAAAGAATAATTAGTCACTATAATGACTTGTATATTTTTAAGAAAAAAATTCCCTAGATTTTTAGCGACAAAATTAGCGCCTTTTTTGTGGCTAATATAAACTTCTCTATTATTTAGAGGCCTTACTAATTTTTGGTCACTAAAAGATATATTTAGCGACCAATTTATTTATGTCTCTATTTTTTTGGTCGCTATTGACCCATTTTTTGTAGTGAATTCATCCTTAGACGATCTCCTCTGGATTTTTAGTTTGAACTATTCATCCAGATGTATAGTCCCATTCATCCCTAAACGATCTCCTCTAGATTTTTAGTTTGAACTGTTCATCTAAACAAATAGTCTCATTTATCCCTGGATGATCTCCTCTGGATTTTTAGTTTATTCTATTTGTACAGATGGATTGACACCTTCGTCCCTGGACGATGTTATCTATTCTTTGAACTTGTTATTCATCCTATTTTTCGACCCAATGAACCTTTGAAATAACCGTTCGTACCAGATGAACTATGTTTGTATGAGATGATGATCGAGAACAAAGGAATTTCGTACCAATGCACATTGAGTTTGTAAGTAACAATTTTTATACTCTTCGTACGTACAAAATTCAATCGTACGGAACGATTGAGTACGCACTGAATTGAAAATTTTATAGTTTTTGGATAGTTTTTCGTGACTTTCTTATAAAAGGTCCACTTAAAACTGTCTTGAAATCTTTTTGTACGTTAGTCTTCGTGCAAACTGAAGGGAGATTGAAGGAGAGAGTGAAAGAGAGTGTTTAAAGGAGAGTTCTTACTACTAGAGCATGAAGGGTTCACTTGGTACTCAAAGGTAAGAATCTCCATTTGTGAATTATGATTACTTCACTCTTTTCTTTTGTCCTTCTAGATTTTTTGTGAGAAGATCCTTCAAGAAGATCCGGTTCTCTACCGACACTTGGAAAAGTGTGAAAGGATGAAGGGTTCTTTGCCTACACTTGGAGAGTGTGAACAGCGGAAGGTTCTTTGCCTACACTTAGAAAGTGTGAACAGTGGAAGGTTCTCTGCCTACACTTGGAGAGTGTGAACAGTGGGAGGTACTCTGCCTACACTTGAAGGGTGTAAAAGGACAACGGTTCTGTACCGCACTGGGTAGTGGTGGAAGAGAGTTTTTGTGAAGGCTTCTCCGCCTTGTTTTAGGGGCAAAAGGGGAGACACTTAGTGATAATAGTGCAATATCTGAAGTGGGAGACTTCAGGAGTGGATGTATGTCGTGTTTGACCGAACCACTATAAATCTTGTGTCTTTTATTTTCTACTGTTTTTTTACTTTATTATTTCTGTTGATCTGTGGTTGAAAAATCATTAAAAAAATTCATTAAAGTTTTAATCGGTTTAAAATAAGAGGAATTTTTAAAATACTAATTCACCCCCACTCTTGGTTAGCCGCTGGGACATAAGCTTAGGTCTAACAACCTAATTCATACTTAACAAGTTTCAACAAATTCTAGCAGTATCACTTTTGAAAATTTTTAAAAGAAAAATCCAACATTAATTTTATCAACTAGAAAACTAATTTCATCTTGTGGCACATCCTCTCTGATTTACCATAAAATCCATTTCTCTCTTCTCAAGATCTCACCATCTCCAATTTTCAATCTACCGCATTTATTAACCAAATTTTTTTATTATTTTAAAGAATATTAAGGTAAGTCTTTTTGGTAAATTTAATCTATTAATTTTAATCTATTAAAATAAGAGGAATTTTTAAAATCACAAATCTCTTCTAATAATTTTAATCTATTAAAACCATTATTCATTAAATTTTATTTTAAATTAAAAAGAAAATTTTTTGGCTCATGTTATTTTTTAAAATATTTCCATAGATTTAATTCTTTTTGATGAAATCTAGTTTTTATATCATTTAGTTATTACTATGTTAAAATTTTTTGAGATAATTTATTATAATTTTATTTTTATCCTTAGTTGTTTTGTATAGTTAAAATGGTTAAATTAGTTTAAATAATTGATTAACAATAAAAGAATGGCTAAATAAACATATGGGATTTTCCATGGTTTTTTTGTATTATATTCGATAAACTTGATTGCATTTGACAGGAATAAACCGAAATATGAAAAAAAAAAATATTTTTATTTAATTTGAGCTTATGTTAACCCATGTGGTAATGGTGCTTAAACTTATTAGATTAGATTTAACACAGTTATTTGAAGCTATAATGAGTTGATGTCTAATTGAGGATAATGGGCTTTAACAAATAAATTAATCATGAGACTTAGCTATTATTTATGTCGTCTACCAATTACCTTCATTTTTCTTAGAGGGGAGGTTCTAGTGTCTCATCCATAAGAGCATCTAACATTTATGCTTCTCTTTTAATGGCCAACATTATGCACCTAAAGCATTATAGGTCTCATCATTATCTTATAAACTTTTTCATTAATTTTGAGGGGTACTTCTCAATTACATATTGGCACTTTCTTTTCCTCCACTACAACCATCAAACTTAAATTCTAATAATAACATCCCCATCTTATTCACAATTATTTTTAAAAATATATTCAATATTTCTAAAATGTGTACTATTTTTAATGACTCGATCACCTATTATGATAATCCCACCAATTCATCTATTACTACTAAAATTATAAAAGTTAAGAAATACAACAATCACATAGTGAAGAATACATTAAGGGTGTGATCTTTAGGCCTCCCAACATATTGAAAGTTCAATAGGGATGTTAAACCTTAATGAAGTAGTCCCATGGCTAACCAAGGGGGGGGGGGGGGGGGATTAGTATTGGGGGGGGGGGGGGGTGAATTGGTATTTTAAAAAAGCTTTCAATCAAAAGCACAAACTTAAAACAAAATCAAGATTCGCCATAGAAATCAAAGTACATAAATTAAATGTGGAAGTAGTAATAAAGAACACAAAAATTTGTAGTGGTTCAATCAACTCCCTAGAGCCTCTTCTCCAAGTATTGCACTAAACATAGTGTCTCTTCTTTTGCCCCCACAGCAAGGCAGAGAAGCCCTTACAAACCTCTTTTCCACCGACCTTGGTAAGGTAGAGAACCTAACTCCTTTTGATTCCTCCAAAAGTCGGCAAAGAACCCAACTCTTTTTACTTCCTCTTGAAGCAGGCTGAGAACCTCGATCAGATGCTGAAGTAGACCTCTCTAGAACCCCCAACGAACTAAGGATAATGACTAGAGAAGATGATAGCAGATCCTTGCTTAGAGTTACCTTTATGAAACCCCTCACAAACTCTCCCTCATAAGATCCTCTCTCTCTCTCTCTCTCTCTCTCTCTCTCTCTCTCCCTTGCTCTTCTACTCCTCTTAGCTCTCTCAGGTCAGAACATCAGCAAAAGATCCCCTCTTGGGTGAAATAAGAGATCTTATATAGAAGATCATTAGAATAGCTTTTAGTTATAATCAATTGATATTATCATCCAGGATGATATCAATATCGTCTTGTACGATCAGTATAAATTTAGTTCAATCAGCCATGATGATTTATGACGATTAGAAGGTTTTTATTCATATCATCTAAGATGATAGGATATCTTCCTGTATGATTGGTATAAGTCATTAAATATCATCCAGAACATCACCCTGAATGGATGTCTAGATGACTAAAAAATAACTTGATCGTCCAAGATGATCACGTGATCGTCTTGGATGATTAGTTCAATTGAGTGCGGATCGTCTTGGATGATTAGTTCAATTCATTACATATCATCCAGAGTATCACCCTGAATAAAAGCTGGTTGATGTTTAATCATCCAAGAATAACTTAGTTTTTGAACTGATCATCCCGGCTGATCTTACGATTGTCCAGGACGATATGATCGAGCAATCAAACCTTAATTGTTTTCCTTAATTACCAGATTAATTTAGGCATAATTAAGTTGCTTCATCCAGAATGATGTCCTGGATGATGTCCAAAAATAAAAGCTACCTAAATAGATTTGGCGACTGATTCTTTCTGACTTGAACCTATCATTTCGGTTGATATTAATATCATATAGGATGATGCGCTTAATGATGGCTACCTTAACTAGGTTGCCCTAATTAAGATTTTTATTTTTAATTGATCATACAAACCGATTTGTAGATCATCCCAGATAATGTGAGAAAAAAATAGAAAACTCTAAAAACAATCAGAAAAATTCCCCCAAGAGTGTGTGTGCAATGTTACTTAGTATCAGAAACCACACCTTTTATAATCGACTCAAGAAAGGAAAAGTTTACAAACTGACTCAGACCTAGTCTACCTAATCTTGAGCTGGTTCAAATTGTAATTTGATCTTATGGACCTAAAATGTTAGTAGGCAAGGTAGTCGTAGAGAAACATAAGTGTTTGCTATCATCAAAATTCTTTTTCTTGAATCAAATTCACAACAATCTCCCACTTTTTGGTGATG